TTATGTGTACTTGTTCACACAATTATGTGTATTTGTTCACACAATTATGTACATTTTTTATACAATTATGTACATTCTTTTTATACAATTATGTATATTCGAATCAGAAAATTTGTGTGTATTATGTTAAGAGTTGATGTGTATTATGTTAAAAGTTTATGTTTATTATGTATTATGTTAGATTATGTGTATTATCTTTTAAAAAGAGTATGTATATTTTGTTATATAATTATGTACATTCATGTATACAATTATGTGTATTTTAGTATAACATTATGTACATTTTTGAACAACGAGTTTTTTTTAAAGAAAAAATTACTGTCATTCACTGGGGCGAAAAATTTCAAAAAAAAAAAAAAAAAAAAATTAAACGACGTCGTTTTGCATCTGGACGCACAGTGCGACGTGCGCCGTGGTGTAGGATATAAATTGCCGGTAACTTTAATACGGAGTAATCAATTAAGAAAATAGTATTCAAATTTGAAACGGATCAGCTTCATCCGGACCTTCCCGTCCCGGGTCGGGCTTTCAAATAATCATATTCCTCACAAATCAAAATACAACCAAAATTTGACAGAAATGTTTTCTTTTTGGCACATTGTATAATTTAACAGAAGAAAGTCAAAATTCCCAACTCAATTCGCAGACACCTAAACAAGAACCAAGGAACCCAAAGCTATTGCTCCGATCTAACTGGGTTCCAAATACCAATGGCTCAAAATCAAAATGCAAGCGCAAGACCCACAACCATTCTCGATTCCCTTGGCGAAGAAATCATTAGAATCATCACCCCAGTTTCAATCTGCATGTTTTTGGTGGTCATCCTCGTATCTGTACTCAACACTGACGCAGATTCCTCCGCCTCATCCTTCACCACCATAGCATCCGCCGCTTATTCCGAGAGCGGCTCGGATTCAGCGTGGGACAAGCTGAAAGGTGCCCTTTTGAATGCCCTCATATTCGTTGCTGTAGTTACTGTTGTTACCTTCATTCTCGTACTCTTGTTCTATTTCCGATGCACCGGTTTCTTGAAATACTACATGGGTTTCTCTTCCCTTCTCGTGTTGGGGTTTATGGGCGGTGAAATTGCACTTTTCTTGATCCAAGACTTCAGCTTTCCTGTTGATTGTGTTAGTTTTGCTTTGGTATTGTATAATTTCACTGTTGTTGGTGTTCTTGCTGTGTTTATGTCAAAGATGGCAATTTTTGTAACACAAGGGTACTTGGTTGTCATTGGAATGTTGGTTGCTTATTGGTTTACGCTATTGCCCGAATGGACGACTTGGGTGCTTCTCGTTGCAATGGCATTGTATGATCTTGCTGCAGTTTTGTTGCCCGGGGGGCCATTGAGGCTATTGGTTGAGCTTGCAATATCAAGAGATGAAGATATCCCTGCTCTGGTTTACGAGGCTAGGCCGGTTATCAATCACGATTCAGTTCCCAGGGGAACTGTGATACAAAGGAGAGTGTGGAGAGAAAGATCCGGGAATGGTTCCGATTCAATTGAGAATTTAGACGCTAGGCCTGAATTAAATCCAAATTCCGGGTCTAGTTTGGATTCGGTTTCTATTAATAGAGTGCCTTCTTCCGCTAGAAATGACCAAAACGAGACGAATTTGGTTAGTGCTGAAGAGGGTCGCAGTACAAGAGAAGAGGATTCCGAGCTCTCTGCTCCACTAATTCAGCATAGTAGTATAACTGCCCGCTTGAATTCACCGGAGGGGCCAGGAGATAATTTTGCACTTGAAGGAGTTGGCTTAGGATCCTCTGGTGCGATTAAACTGGGGCTCGGTGACTTCATTTTCTACAGTGTATTAGTTGGCAGAGCTGCCATGTATGATTTCATGACAGTATATGCTTGTTACCTCGCCATTGTAGCTGGTCTTGGCGTTACTCTCATGCTTCTTGCTCTTTATCAAAAAGCTTTGCCGGCTCTACCCGTGTCAATTATGCTAGGTGTGTTGTTTTATTTCTTAACTCGATTTTTACTTGAAGCTTTTGTTGTGCAATGTTCTATGAACTTATTGATGTTTTAGAAATACATTGGCTACTGCAATGTTTAATGAATCTATCAATGTTTCAGGAATATATTATTACATAGCGATAAAATTTGTTGACTATGGTTTATTTCTGCTATTCATTTACACTAGCAACTTTGTTGGGCGTTGGCCGAGTTCAGCCGCTGCTCGATTCGAGATGTGGCGGCTGGCGCTGCGGCTTACCATGGAGGGATGTGGTTAAATGGTTAATGTCCACATACTTACACCAATTGGTTTTAAGTAGGATATGACAACCAGATAGCCAAAGAACTCTGTGGTTAAGCGTGCTTAACTTACAGCAGTCACAGGATGGTTACAAGTTGTGAAGGATTAGTTGTTGGTAAACTGACTAATTGTCTAATTAAGTAATTAGTAATTACAACACCCTAGTCCCTAATGAACATTATCAAGAAAGGCTTTCGAAATTAATGAAAACTACAGGAATAGTTTCATCAGGAGATAATGCACCAGACAAAAGCCAGTCCTCACCTTTGCAAATTCATGCATATACAAGATTGTAATTCCGTGGGAAATGAATAAGGCGAGAATAAAGTAGGAATTCAAATTCCATTGTTTGGTTGACAGGAATAGAATTACTAGGAATAAGTGATATAAAGACTGAAATGCCCTTGTGTAATAATAATAAGAGCAATGCTACAAACCCCTTCTTTATTTCCCTTACAAATTTCCCTTACTGATGTGTCATTATGTGATTGGTAGTTAAAATTTATTTATGAGGGGAAAGTTTGGAGATAAAAATCAGGAGAAAGGAGCATTTTCTTAATCTTAATAATAAATGCTTGTGTATGGTTAACTAAACAAGGACAAACAATGGAAAGAGTGCATGGAATTTCTATTTCTAGGGGGAGGGGTAGGAATTTCTATTCCATGAAAAGAGGGAATTGCAAGTCCGTGGAATTGTAATTCCATCCAAGCAAACAAGGGAATTTTACAAGCTCAAGGAATTACAATTCCATTGTGCCAAACATGCACTCGAACTATCAAATCAGGTAAAAGATAAATACATCAAGACAAGAAAAAAGACAAATAAGATGAACCAACATCCTTACAATAAGTGTTCTTTGTCATCTTTTATTGAGTAGCCAAATATAATGTGTTTTGCTAAAGGGTAGTGAAATCATATTATTGTGAAGAAATAATCTTGAGATACAGAGAGAACTAGAACACATTATTGCCAAAGAAATTGCAAAATGTCCTCTGTGGTAAGAAATCATTGTAATCCCATTCTTGAAACAGTGGATGCTAGTAAACTGTAAACTAACATCTCTCTCTTCGGTTTATATGATATGGTGATTATAAGAAACTGAGTTCCTAGTGGAAGAATCATCCTAATTTTTAGTACAGTGGATATTATTGTTGTCAAAATGTTACACAGGTTGAGGTTGTAGGATTCAGTATCCATCTGATCCTCTGATAGAGATGGAGTTGCACATCTGCATTATTATTATTTTATTTTTGTATTCTCTCTAGTGATGCCACTTGCTTCACGTAATTGCTGATGCACACAGAAAAACTTAAATGATTCATACAGTGACTGTGAAGTAGAATTAGTCAAAGGGAGCAACAAGAAGAGAAGTGTGTTTTGTGTCAAATAAAAACAATCACACAATGAGTAGGTTTTGTTCAAGGGCAGACTCTTTTAAGTAGATGCAGAAATAGAGGTCTTGTTAGGGTTTTTGACTTCTCATGTAAATGTTTTAGACTTTTAGCTGCATTTAATGTCATAACCATCTTACTGTAAACCCATTAAATGCTTGAAACAGACATGTTTACCAGGAAGTGGATGAGCTTGTGCCTTAACCGGGTTATGATGGAGAGTTGTTCTTCCATGACTGACTGCTACATAATTGCATGACTATTCATTGAATGATTGTTTTAGGTATTTTCTTTTATTTGTGGTGGTGGGGATCCTGCCTTCATTCTTGTCATCGCCCTCTCCAGGTGCCCCCACACCCCGGCCCGACGGGATTGTGGAGGGGTAAACTAAGGCTAAAATTTTGCTCACTGCGAACAAGGAGCCGCCCTCATTTTGAGAGGTTGTTCCTACACTGCTGCTAGTGAGATTCGATCATTGGTCTCTTATGATAAATTTCACCTTTGTGACCAACTGAACTACCCATGCGGACACTTTGGAGTTCTGATGGGATCCGGTGCATTAATGCTGGTATGACCGCCTTCATTCTTATATTCACACTTTGAATGGTGAAATATGTGCTTTGCTTGAGCATATATTACTTCAACCCAAGTCAACTGACTTGATCCCACCCAATCTAAAGTCCAGCATTATTTAATGCTAACTCCATTATCACTCCCTGCACTGACCTTTCTCTCTTAACACTTACCCAAATTAGCTTTTGTCTACACCTCTTTTGCAGTTTTGCCTAGCTCTTAAGGCATCATCCCCAATGTGCATATTGCACAATGGTGGAAGAAAGCTTCTATATGTAATTTTTGGTGTTGGTGTTATATTCAGCCTTCTGGTGTGTGCTTCCATGATGAGGAAATGTTAGGAGTTGATAAAGTTCTGATTCAGATAAAATGAACCTCTAAAAATCGACTTGAGATTGCAAAACTGAACAATGTTATTTCCTGATGATCAAACCAGTTGAACAGATTCACATAACAGGGGGAAGCCAACTCACACACTTCAAGAAATTCATGCTGACATTATAAAATTGAATTAATACCTCCAATGGTCCTCCGAGTATTAGCGATTTACCAGCTGTGGTCATCCGAGTTTTAAATGACCTCCAATGGTCCTCCATGTTTTAAAAAATAACCATCAGTGGTCCTAATTCTTAAAAAAAAAAAAAAACAGGTTTAAAATGACCACAAGACGTCATAAAAGGACCATAGGTGGTTATTTTTTAAAACATGGAAGACCATTAGAGGCCATTTAAAACTCGGATGACCATTGCTAATACTCGGAGGACCATTGGAGGTATTAACTCTTATAAAATTCCGGATTACATTTCTGTTGATAAGTTACACTAACAAGTAACCATACAAAATAGTGGAAACCTGGGAAAAGATTGAAATGCAGCAGTGAAAGAAATTTACAGGTAACAGGATACAAGCAAGTTTCACCTTCTCCAATGATGGCTTAAAGACTTTGGCAGACCTTCAAAAAGATCGAGGATGCAATTCTCCAAGTCATCTGGGGTGTACTTGATGTACCGGTCCCCAACAGAATCTTTCACAGAACCAAAAAACACCCGGAAAGCTGGGACAACGTTCTTTGAAGTCGAAATTCTTACATCCTCACGAAGCTGAAGATCAGGGATAAGCCAGCCTGTCTGGATCTTATACATTTCCTCAAATGCAGCATTAAAACTCCTACACCTCTCCCTCAGAAGTGTTTTATCAGAGCTTCCATCATTCCTAATCAAAGAAAGAATAGGACTCCACGTGATTCTCTCATAGGTCATTGCATGCTGCCGGAACTGCCCCATTTGCTGTCGGATCCAGCTGTCACCAAAACATGCCCTGATTTTGGAGTTCTTTATCTTCTGAACCATGTAGTGGATATTATTCATCATGTAGATATGCTTTAAGGAGTGGTTTCTGTACAAATTTGACCTGGCAAGCAGATTGGCTTCCAGAATTGATGTAATGGACTGCAAGTGATGAGCCACTGGGCAGGTGAGCACAGATGAAACTTTCTGCAAATCCTCTTCATCAATAACTTGATCTAGATGGTCAATAGTTTTCTCCTCGATAAGAAAGTTGAGGGTATGGCAATACTCTGCTAGAAGCATCAAATAATTCATAACGTACTTGGTGAGTGGTTGGACACCGCCCTTGATAAGAGGAGTTGTTGAAGTTTCTGAAGCGATTTTGTTGCCAAACTCCAGAAAGATTACCTTAGCGGAATCTCCTAGTCTCTTCTCGAGTTCATGGAACTCTGCCCGAACGAAAGAACCTTCTTCCCCTTCTCCAAACAAAGCATCCATATCACGACGAAGATTTGTTATGACTTCATACATATCAAGTAAGCAAAACAGCCGCTCTGGTAGAGGGGGGCCAACAGCCACAGCTTGACCAAAATTCAAAAGGCATAACACGGAAGCTTTAGAAGCTTCGTAAAAGGATGTTGAACTTACAGACCCTAATTCTCCAAGAATTTCATCGAAGAGTCTCTTCACAATGGGGAGATAGAACCCAATGATGTTCTTCATTGCCCATAGCCATTTCTTGATTCTGCGGTTTAAGCAGCTCCACTCCATATTCAGCACGTCCTCGATGCTAAGATATTCCATATGAAGAACGCTCAAGTATTCACTCAATGCATTTTCCCAGAAGGTGACAAAAATCTGGCAAAACTCCTGATAGTAATGTGAAGCAAACATCACATTTGCAATGCATTTAATATGAGGAACCACATCAGGGTGGATTAGATCTACCCGATATTCCTCAGGTTCAGTGCCACTGCTCTCTCTCCTTGATGCCTCCTCTGCTGATTCATTCTCGCTTGAAACTATTGATTCCTCATCCACAACATTCTCTTCACATGAACGGAATGACAAATATTCATGCTCAAAACAGTGCTTATTCTGAGCAAGAATGTTGGCTACTTCTTCCTGTAACCTTTCCATAGCCATCTGCAATATGCTGTGAGCTTTGTTAAGTACTAGCCCTTTCTGTTTCCCTCCTCTGCTTGATACCAAACTTTCTGTCAATTTTCGAACTTCATCTACAGCTTCCAAATATTCTAAACCTTGTTGAGGACCAGAATCCCATATTCTATAGTGATTTGACTGCAAACTCACAATCTTTCTCTGAGCAGACTTGAGCCTTTCCTCAACCTCCCCGAGGCTCTCTGCTTCATCGTCATTAAGTTTGGTCATTTTGGACAAATGAATGTCAAGATCAGCAAGAAGCCTTCTCATGTCACTGTTCACATTCTTACTGGCACTTAAAGCTTTCAGAAGGTGATGAGCGGCAGCAATCATGTGCTGCTCCCCATCAAGGGTTGTGGTTACTGCTTCCTTATCTTCCATTGCCTTTACCAAAACCAAAACGAAAAAGGGTAATGGCAAAAGGACTGAATCGATGGCCTAGACTACTAAATTGCACCAACTGGTGGTATTCAAACTCAATAATCAATTTAATTGCACAATCTCAACCAGTACTGCTAACAATCAGACCTGGTGGTTTACATACCAGATCATCTGGGGTTGATAAGAAAAACTGAGATGGAAGGACATATTCCTTCAGAGATGATGGTAGTCTGTTTCAATGGTGAAGGGGGGCAGAATTTATGGTTAGAAATCCTGAATTTCAGAACCCCTTTCAAGATCCAAGAACAAAGGCTAATCATCAGAAGATATAGAGGACTTATATGTACCCCCTCTCACCCACCCCTCCTGGCAGCAAGTTGAACAATGAAAAAAAAAAATGGGGGGTACAAACTGAGGAGAAAGATAGTGATAGTTTTAAGTGAAAGTGGGTACAGAAAGAAGTAAGAGAAAGATAGCAAAACAGACCCTAAACCAACCTCATGTGATTGATTTCTCTCTTGCTCTCTCTCTCTAAAGTGTTCAGGAGTAGATCATTGATGAAGCTTCTAAGAAAATGAGTCTAGCAAAATTGAGCAGTAGTACTAGTAGTACACTCAAAACCTATGAACCAGGGTACACAAGGCAAAGCAATCATCAATCACAAAAGGCAGAGGCAGGAATCAAACTCAAGAATTCAAGAAAACCCTAATTCTGAGGACTCAAAATTGAAGGAAAAACAGAAAAACCTGAGAAACAGATTGAGTCTCCTCAACTCTCAGGCAGTGCAAGCTGGAAAGCTCAAAATCCGTTCTTGAAGCTTTTACAGAGAAAGATGCTTGACTGAGAATAAAGAAATGAAAACAAACTTGCTAAACCTGGCCAAATACCCACCAAAGCATTATAAAAATCTCAACTTTTTAGTCATAATTTCTACGCGGTTTACTTGGAAAATAAAGAAATCAAGGAAAAGTCCAACAAAATGGAGAACAGAACAGAACCAAGTTGAGAGATTCTGTTTTTTTTTTTTTTTTTTTTTTTTTTTTTTTTTTGGTCTGAGCACATATGTCATCTTATGTTCATTTTAATATTTCAATTTTCAATTCTTTAAATTAAAAAAATACAAATAGACATATATATTTTTTAATTTTTCAATTAATAAACGCATCCAAATTTTGTTCTTCGATATAAGAGCATCCTACGAGTTAAAAAGCTAAGTAGGATACATGAAGGGAGGAAAAAGAAAAAGAAAAAACAAAAAAAGAAAAGTTTAATCTCAAAAAATTAAAGCGTTTTACTTGCTCAGTGGGTGTGTGTAAGTACACAGGCGTGGCATGTGCGGCCAACACACACCTACGGGTTTTTTTTCTTTTTCCTTCAAGCGGTAAGTCTCACAAAAAATCTTAATTTATCGTAATTCAAGTTACTTCAAAAATCAAGCAAAAACCTTTGATGAGCTTGCTCAGAGAGAGAAGTAAGAAATTGACACAATGACATTTTTAAATCTACAACTTTAATAAAAGCGAATATTGTTAGACCCTTAACCGGAACAAAAAAAATGTCGGTACGCCACATGCTCAACAAAATTGTACTTTGCGCTTTCCTAATTGTACAATGCCAACTTAAATTCTTAATATAACCTCATTCTTCTAAATTATACCAAACTTTCACTGTTAAACTTAACAATTCCGTCAAAAGAAATTTAGCGAATTAGAATACAAATCTTAATAGATTCCTAATTTTGAATTAGAATATTGATCTCTTAATTAATATGATTTCCTTGTTTAATCATAATTTTCTTACCTAATATTCTATATTTTACATAATTATTTCGTAATAAAATTAATCAATACACAAATAGAAATTTATTTCTATATTACGATACTTTCTTATTTACTAATTATGTCATCTTCACTATATCAAATATATTTACTTGTCATGTCATTATTACCATCTTTATACAATTGTAGTTTATAATTAGAATATAGAATACAAATCTTAATAGATTCTTAATTTCAAATTAGAATATTGATGACTTAATTAATAGGATTCTATAATACAAATCTTTATAGATTCCTAACTACACCCTTAATCTACCTAGAACAACACTATATTAACTCTTGGTATTCAACAAACACAAAACCTAACTTTTTTTGCAACACAGAGTATTCAAGAGACATTCTACAGGTATGAATATAAATCTCTTATCATTACTACATAATTAATTAATATAATACTTCTTGTTACTCCTTATATTATTTCAATCCCATGATTTTTCAATTTATGTTATGGTTCCCATTATATTATTTCTTTACATTCTTTATGCGCATATTTTCAATGACGGAAGAATATTAGTCATGGCAAATGCACTAAACTTAATTGATATTGACAATACAAATCTTTATAGATTTCTAACTACACCCTTAATCTACCTAGAACAACACTATATTAACCCTTGGTATTCAACAAACACAAAACCTAACTTCTTTTGCAACACACAGTATTCAAGAGACATTCTACAGGTATGAATATAAATCTCCTATCATTACTACATAATTAATTAATATAATACTTCTTGTTACTCCTTATATTATTTCAATCCCATGATTTTTCAATTTATGTTATGGTTCCCATTATATTATTTCTTTACATTCTTTATGCACATATTTTCAATGACGGAAGAATATTAGTCATGGAAAATGCACTAAACTTAATTGATATTGACATACAAACTGTGAGATAAAATTGTAAAGTTTGTGTCATATATTAAGAAAAACGAACCAAGGAATGCTATTAAATCGCCTGAGAAAAAGTATATGCTCATCATCCTCGAGGATGAAACTGTAAGTACATAATACAAAATTTCCCCATTTCATTATTATTATTATTATTATTATTATTATTATTATTATTATTATTATTAAAAGGTTATATCGTGTATTGTTATGAGTACATACTATTATGGACATGAATTTAGTGATGGATTTTTATATGCAGCGTGATTATAATTATTTTTTAAATAATAATAATAATAATAATAATAATAATAATAATAGTAATAATAATAATAATAATTATTATTATTATTATTAGTCATTTATTAATTTATATTTATTAGACATGTATAGTTCTTTATTTACACTCAAATCAAGGTGCTTTCATTCACCACCAACATCATTGTAAATGTTATATCTATATACAGAGAACTCGGGTTTAATCAATAGTGTTTGATAATGACATTGAAATTTATGATAGCACTTTAAAGACCAACGAGAGGTACATAATTTCAAATGTCATTGTCAAACCTGCCCAGACGAACTATAGAGTACTTGACAATAAATACAAGTATACATGAATTTTAAATGCTCGGAGTATTTCGAATTTCTTTATCTTTTATTACAATATATAATCACCAAGACCATTTCTATATCTTTTATTAATTTCGCATTTTTCTCTCTCTCATCATTATATTATGTGAATACTTTAACCAATTAAGAAACACTAATTTATAAATACACATTGGGCATTGATCTAATCGCGCAAAGCGCGTGTCATAACTAGTTTAAAGATAAGGATGAATAGAGAGAAAATAATTGTTAAAGACTTTTTTTTTTATATTTTTTCATGAAAACATACTAGGGGTTTATTAGTGAAAATGAGTTAATACCACTATACTCGGAGGACCTCGGATGGTATTAACTCTAATGAAAATATATTTAATTTTCATACCATGTTAATTATATCTAATTTTAATATCAAACTTTTTGCTTATTATAATAATTATTTCTAATTATACTATTTTTTAAAAAACCTTAGATTTCAATACAAGATCAAGAAATTTTCTATGTGTTATCACTTGGTTGGTATAAGGATCAATTAACAAATTTAGTTGACATGTAAATTATATAATTACATATCTCTTAGATTTAAATACAAGATCAAGAAAGCTACAAGTTTGGCAAAAAAGTTGTGGAAACTTTTCACGTGTTGTCACTTGGTTGCTATAAGGGTTATAGGAAGGTGATACTTAGAGACCGGCCTGTTGATGGCTATTAACAAGATTAAACAATTACAAACGCTAGAGACATGATTGGCCATATATATGTTCCTGCCGTTTGAGAGCTCATTGGTAAATATTAGAATTGTAGGATTAGTCATATCTATTAGGAGGCCAATTCATGTGTCAACTACCTGCTGACATACTGAACTTAGTTATGAGTAAATACGCATTCATGTCTTAGATAATCCTTCAAAAGGTGTTTGATCTTATCTAACGACGGAGTGATACCTTCAAATTTCTGTAGCTTTTATTTGTTCTTAGTATATTAAAAAAATTACAACATCACTTGTCATATAAATCAAGAGACTAATAATTTCTTTTTTAAAAAGGGTTAAATCTTTACACATTATAATTATAATAACTATATCTAAATTATAAACTGTTTTCTACAAAATTTGTGTAAAAGAATTAAAAAAAAAAACTATTAAATCAAGTGTAAAATTAAATATCAGATAAATGTGACTTCAAAATAACTTTCTTTCCTAGTATGAGTTGAGACCAAAAAAAAAAAAAAAAAAATAGTTAAGTCAAATAGTGTAAATGGAAAAGAAACTTCCTTAGGGTAGCTTTGAATTGTTGGGTTTGATTATATTGGTGTCATGTTTGAATAACTCTTACCTATTATTCTAACAATTTTTATATAGAGAGAGTGGAGAGAATCTAGTAGACAAATTAAAAATAAGAGATTTTCTTTCTTAGAGAGGAAAGTCCAAAAATAATAGTTATTACTTATTATAAATTAAACTATGTAATTCATTTATTAATTTTTTTTAAATAAATTCTTATATCATTTATTTGATTTTATTTAATTAATTTAAGATAGAACTGTTTATTACTTGTGAATTTTAATTAAAAACGATTAATCAAATTTTGTCAATTCAGTCGATTAACTGAAAATTTATCGAAATTTACATATCCTAAATAGAACCATATTTATTTATATAACACAAAATCGAAGTCCCTTTCATAAATTTTGGTATACTCTCTCTCTGACTCAGCAGCTGGCCTTGACTGTTGACCAAAATATGTACCGTCTTCACAAATTTCAGCAATCGTTGGATGACATTCTTTTGTTTGTGCTGCACGCCTAAGAAATTTCTTATATATTTTTTTTTATAACACTGTCCACGTCATTTACAAATGACACCCAAGCACGTGACCTACTACGGCCAGGTTATTGGTTAACTTTTTTTTAAAAAAAAAATTTAATATTAATTTGAAATAACTAAATTGTACTCCGTAACTTATAACAGATATTGTAATAGTTATATGTAAAATTGTAATACTATTTAGGGTAAAACAGTTGTTACTAATAACAAATATATTGTAATACTTATAGCTGAAATTGTGATACTTAAAAAATGTAATTCTAATGTAAATATTGTAATATTTATAGAGTTAATTCCAGCAATGGTCTTCCGACTATAGTGATTTTCCAAAATTAGTCCCTGACTTTTAATTTGGACACTTTAGGTCCCTTGACTTTCAATTTCTTTCCAATTGAGGTCCTTTCGTTAGAATACGGTTCATTAGACTTTAAATGAAGGGGTAAACTCGTCATTTCACCTGCCTATGTATTATTCTTCGTATTTCTCCCTTCGTATTTCGCTGTTATACCTTGTAAACATCTCAATAATAGAGGAACGCACACACGAGTAGTCAGCAAATGGGGAACGACGAGGAATATTTTAGGGTTTCGACTAAGATTATCTTCATATATATATCGCGTATACAATGGAGAAATACTAAGAATAATACATAGGCAGCTGAAATGATGAGTTTACCCCTTCATTTAAAATTCAATTAACCGTATTCTGACGAAAGGACCTCAATTGGAAAGAAATTGAAAGTCAAGGGACCTAAAGTGTCCAAATTAAAAGTCAAGGACTAATTTTG